CAAGATATTGTCCTGCGGGGAACCGCTGTTTTATGATCCCCTCACGAGAGCTGCCTAGAATGACTTGTTTTCTATTAACGGTATACTTGGCTATTCTGTGACAGCTGAACTTGATGGGGTTTCTTAAAGTAAAACACAACAAAATATGTGATTTCTTGTCTCCAGTAAAACTGATGTAAGTGCCCAGTGTTCAGGTTTCTCCAGTCCTATCCTACTCCAGCTTCCCATACTTTGATGGAGGAACACAAAATTAAAGGCTTAATACTGAAATTGCCTTTTGTGATTTGCTGTTTTTGCTACAGGGAACCAGCTTCCAGCGGTGCTTCCCAAGAAAGCAGAGTATGTTATGAAGGATATCAGACGAATGGCAAAGTATTGCCAAGTGCCACTGAGTTTACCGAAGGATATCCTAGACACTGTGGTTGTGAAAGGTAATGAAGGAGATTGCTTTCTCGAAATTGGTGCCAGTTAGGCATTTTGGAGATGGTGGTTTCTACGCATCGGGAGGACATCAGGAAGTAGAAGGTCCAATGAGTCCTTTTAAAAGTAAGGGAGAGGGTGTGTTTGTCTCCCCATCAGCATTCATGCAGCTTCTCTAGCGCACCTTTGTGTGTCTCTCTACCTCCACAGGAAGTCTGCCTGCCATGCGTTTTATCACAGCTGTGGATATAGCAGAACCCCAGTTTTTGGAGCCCGTTTCTAGAGAACTTTGGATGCGCGTTTGGTCCCGGGTAAGTATTCAGATCGTGCAGACAACTGTGTCTCTCTAGGCATTTCTCTGTCCCTTCTGCTGATCTCTTTAGGATGCTTAGGTAAGAAAGTTGAAGCCACCTGAACTAGACTTGCACACATTTCAGCCAAGTAAGCCAAGTACAGACCTATATGGGGGCCTCCAGGAATTTAAGCATTGAAGTTGTTTCTGACATCCAAGAACTGCGACAACAAATTGTTGTGGGCATCTTTAAGACCAGATTAAATGAATAGGGCAGTCTGGAATTTCGGCCATACCTCACTTTTCTCTTCATTCCCTTGGTTTTGGGTAGGTTAGGTTAGGGAGATTGGCCTAGTGGTCCAATTTCATTTAGACAAAGAAAATGGCCATGGGGTTGTTGTTTTTTTCATCCGCTTGTTTTGTTTTCTTTCGCTTACTTACCTTAGTGTTTCCATGATTCATCTTATCCACGAGCGTTATTAATCAGTTGCTGTACTTTTTCCAGGATGAAGACATAGTTCAGCCAGAGAGTATATTGGCAGTAAGTTCCTGCTCCTCGTAATGCTCTTCTCCTACAAGGTGCCTGTTCTGTGGTTTGGATGCAAAGGGCTGGTCTGTGGAGGTCTGCTGGGTGGATAATTCTTCCATTTTGAGAGAAGTTTAAACTGCAGAGTTTTTAGAGGCCTTGCCTTCCCACTCTGCTGTCCTGCGTGTGGCACTCTTGTACTGTGTAATTTGCTTTTGGGGCAGTATTGCTGTCAGGGAGGACTGTCCATGCAGAAGGGAACTTGTGTGGCTTTGTCCTCTTCCTCAGTCATGAACTCCTTGAAGGATCTAGAAGCGTTTTATTCTTTTAAATTAACAAATCAGGAGAAAATTATTTTATGACTAGTATTATCACTAGGTCTGACACATGGAAATGCAGTTTTCCTAGGCCTTAGACTGACTATTGAATCCCATGTGATCTGTAGCTTATTTTTCTAAAGTATTGTGTGCTGCTTAACTTACATAGGGGATGAGCTCAAGGTCAGTAATTGCTCTGCATGTCGAGGGTCTCAAATTCATTCCTAGGATCTCTAGGAAGGACGATCTCAGCCTCACACGCTGGAGAGCCCCGGAGAGAAGAGGAAAACCCTAGCTAGATGGACTAATAATCTTACTTGGAACAAAGAAACAGGAGGAATCTGGTAGTACCTTTCCAGGCAACAAATGTTATGAAAAGGCATAAACTTCCACGCGCTGCAGGTTATTTCATCAGACTTCATCATGAATTGCAGCACACAGAAGCTTATGCCCTTTCGTAACATTTGTTACTCAGAAAAGCTGGTAAAAGACTCCTGATTTTGGACTACCGTAGGTTGTCCTCTTAACGTTGGAGTAAAGAAAGAAGACTTATGTGAAAAAAGAGTGCACTGTCTATAGAGAACTTAACTACTTTAGTAGTTAAGAATAGAAGTTGTATCAATGCCAGCAAACCACAAGGAAGGTATTCCACAGGTGTTGAACAGTTTGAGTTGGGTCACAGTTTAGTACATCCCCTCTGTGCCGGGCATTTGCTTTCCAGTTCTATTAAGGAGTGTCAGTGTGGGGTATTTTTGCAAACCTCTTCTTTCCTTTAAAGTATCTCAGGTGGGTTCTGTGTCTCTCCGTATGGAAAGCTGCCTGAGGTTTTATCCAGTCAACTTGGGCTGCGTGTTCTAGGATATCTGTCTTTTTTCTCAGGCTGCAGAGAAAGCAGGGTTGCCCTCAGGCAAAAGCCAGGAGCTTCTGAAAATGAGCAGCTCAGCTGAGGTGAAGAATCGCCTGAAAGAGACCACAGACGAGGCCCTGAAGTTTGGGGTAAGGGCCAACGTTTTGTGAAATATATCTGCCAGTCAGAGTCCTTTTCCAAAAAGATGATGTGGGGATTTGGGAAGCTGAACTCTTTAGCGCTCTGATGAGCAACTTTATTGGGTAATGACGTCACCTCAGAAGACTTCATCTGCAGAGAACCTTCTGGCTTTTATGCATCTTCCTAGCTATTATCCATGGCTGGCGTTGAAATATTGCTGCCAGATTTATGAAGAGCAGGGAAGATGGGCAGCCTGACTACCTATTACTTCCCATTGAGCGAGTTATTTCACAAAACTATTCCACGCACAGTAGATGCTGGCATCTGAAGTGGCGTGAAATCATGCACAAGATCTGTTTATTAGGAAATGCGGAATAAATGTGCAGCTACCTAACACAGAAGCTAACTGGCACATTTCAACTCTTTGGTTTGCGTCTGTTACCCTAAGCTGGTTAGATGAAGTACAATTTTCTTCTTACATCTTTGTGTTGGGTTTTCCCATGTAGGCATTTGGAGTGCCGTGTTTTGTTATCCAGATTGATGGAAAGCCCCAGCTTTTCTTTGGTTCAGATCGTGTAGAAGTACTAGGAAGTTTTTTGGGTGAGTGTTACTAATGTTTTTGTTGTTTGTTATTGAAGAGTTTTTTAGGCTCTACAGTGGACCAACACATTACAAAAGTGGGTCTTGTTTGTTTGCGGCTCCCATAAAAATGAAAAGGAGGAAAATGTTTTGCCACTGCCTTCTTCTGATTTTTTTTTTTTTTTGACTTTCTAGTTTGTCCACAGCCCTAAATCCTGGTTAGCTTTCTCAGAACACCCAGGTTGGCTAGGTGCTGTCATCCAGCTGGACACCCTGTTACTTAAAATAGCTTTTTATTACTGTGCTCTGTCTCTGAGCACCTTAGAAGGCATATATAAGTCTTGTGAAAAGAAAGGGGAGAAAAATATTGTGTCTAACCAGAATTTACACTAAAAAATGCTAAATCCCCATTTTGTAAACATTATGGAAATGGGTTGTAACTTACCTTTTGTATAATTCTACTTTTGTTCTAAAGCTCATGAGAGAGGAAGAGAAAGGGAACTCAATTTTTTCCCTGACTATTGATGCTTTGATCCAAATTGCTTTCCACTCAGGAATCACTTTAGACAGCAAAAGTAAAGAGTCTGAATGGAACTTCACTGGGGCAAACCTGGAGCGGATAAACTTGGAGCAGAGAGCAATTTCTTTTCT